GACCGGATGTGAAAATATTCGAGGATATCTATCGGCAATTACACAATTCTCCCGAGCTATCCGGTCAGGAGAAGGAGACATCCGAGCTCGTCGCAAACTTCCTGAATAAGCTGGGCTTCGAAGTGCACACTCACATCGGTGGGTATGGCGTCGCCAGTGTGCTCCGAAACGGAAGCGGTCCCACCGTCCTGTTGCGCGCAGACATGGACGCATTGCCCATTCACGAGAAGACCGGAGTGCCGTACGCGAGCCATAAAACCGTCAAGGACAAGGACGGGGTAGAACAACCGGTGATGCACGCCTGCGGGCATGATTTTCACGTCGTGGGTCTCTTGGCCTCTGCCGAGCTCCTGCACTCAGCTCGCCAATATTGGTCGGGCACCTTGATTTGCATTTTCCAGCCGGCTGAGGAGCAACTGTCCGGTGCGCAGGCGATGATTGACGACGGGTTATATGAGAAGATCCCCAAACCAGACGTCGTTCTGGCTCAGCATGTCATGCGACAGCGGGCGGGCACAGTCACAGTCCGGCCTGGTCGATTATTGACGGCGGCCGACGCCTTTGATGTTCGTGTCTACGGACGTGGCGGCCACGGCTCGGCCCCTCATACCTGCATTGATCCCATCGTGATCGGTGCGGCGATCGTGACTCGACTACAGACTGTCGTAAGTCGGGAGGTGATCCCCGGAGAATTGGCCGTCGTGAGCTGCGGTAGCATTCAAGCCGGCAGCACGCCGAACATCATTCCCAGTCATTTGGACTTGAAAATCGGTGTCCGAACCTACGACCCGAAGGTGCGGGAACGAGTGAACGCGGCCATCAGACGCATCATCGAGGCCGAATGCGAGGCCGGAGGCGCCGTCCAGAAGCCGCTGATTAAATGCACCCACTCCGCGCCCGCGACGATCAATGACGGCGAAATGGTCAAGGCCTTAAGGGGTACCTTTGAATCGTACTTCGAGGACAACTTAGTTGACGACGAGCCCGCAGCGGCCAGTGAGGACTTTTCTCTCCTGGCGACGACAGTAGACGCTCCGTACGTGATGTGGACGTTCGGTGGCGTCGACCCCCAAACGTGGGAAGACGCGGTGGCCAAGGGAACGGTGCATGAGCTGCCGAGTAATCACTCGCCTTTCTTTGCGCCAGTCATCCAACCGACCGTACAGGTTGCCGTGGATGCCATGTCTGTCGGCGCCTTAACATTCCTCAAGAAGCAGACATCTTAACTGTGGCCACACTGTGGCCGGAGCGATCAGTTATTTCCTATATTTATACTATTTTCTGGCGATGTCGATCTGTAAATAACTTTTATGAAGAAACCCATTGGATGACCAGAACGCTACTAAATACTCAATACTATACAAATTGCACCCTAGAACCAGACTTCCCCCCGCTCAAACCTTCTCGGAGACATGAACCACAATCTTCCCCCTAGTCCTGCCCAGACGAAGTTTCTCAAACGCCTGCACCGTATCCGCAAACTCAAATGTGCTGTCCACCACCACCTTCACCTTCCCTTGCTGCACCCATTCACCAATCTGTGCCAGCTCATCCGGTCGCATGCGGCACAAAAGGATATCGTATTTTCTCTTGCCTCCGCCCAAGAAACCCGGCCACGCCACGCGGTTCACAAAGATGAGCATTGACGAAGCCCCGACCTGAACAAAAGCCTTGCCGGGCAACAAGAAGGCGTCGCACTCCCGATACAGCGCCTCAGGCGTACCGATATGATCCACGACGTGGGCAAACACCTGGCCCTTCGCCTTCAGGACGGCCAGGACATCCTCGGTCGTGTAGTCGATGACTTCGTCGGCGCCCAGCTCGCGACAGAAATCGGCGTTGCGGCCCGAGCACGTCGTCGTCACGTGGCAGCCCAGCAGCTTCGCGAACTGGATGGCGAAGATACCGCAGCCGCCCGATCCGCCGTTGATGAAGACCTTATCGCCGTTCGTCACGTACGGCACGACCGCCTGGTAGGCCGTCAGGCCCGCGACACCCAACGTGGCCGCGTGGTCGGGGTCCACGCCATCCGGCAGCGCGGCGATGTTGTGCTCGCCCACGGCCATGTATTCGGCCAGCGAGCCGAAGGGGACGGGTTTCGCAGTTGTGCCATAGACCAATTGGCCCGGCGAGACTTTCGTCACGGCAGGGCCCGTGACGACGACGCGGCCGCAGAAGTCCATTCCTGGCGAGGCGGGCGTCGAGACGATGACTTTGGATACGAGGCCCATTTCGGGGACCTTGAAATCCGCCGGGTTGATGGAGGCGGAGAGCACCTGGACGAGGAGCTGGTCCGGTCGCAGACTGGGAGGCGCGCGGGCGGCGGTTTCCAGCGTCAGTTTCTTCTCGAAGTCGACGCCGGCGCTGTGGTACATCCAGGCCTTCATGGTGGAAGGGATCGGGTGGGTTGCGTCGGCCATTGTGGAATAATCCAGCAGTACTGAGAATCTGAGTGGTGTGTTTGGACTTTGGAGAAAGTGGATTGTTGCGAGGTCTGGAATTTTGATGTTTATTTTATTTTAATTTATTCAAGTGGGGCGGACGGGTTTGACATGCGATGACATCATTGCAAGGGAGACTAAAGTAGGTATGCTTTGGGAAGGAAGTATAAACAATGAGTGGATGGACAGTTGGACACGGTCAGGAGTATAAACAATTATGAACCATGATCTATACTATTAACTAAACGAAGGAGTCAGTGGGGAGTGTCTCCACATGGGTCTGTCTACTGAACGCTCGATAAAGACGCCGATGCCCCGAGTAGCCTTCCGAGGTTCCAATAAATATCCCCGTTTCTCTCTCTTTGTCCATCATCTTCTCATCTTCCCCTCTATACCCTGGCTTACCACTACCAAATAATTCTACACGCTTCATCATGCCGTCCAAAGCAGAATCCATGGCCCGGATCTTCCCAGGCACCGCGTCGCCTCTCATTTGTAACGCCCCCATGGCCGGAGCCACGAATGCTGCCTTAGCGGTAGCCGTGACTCAGGCCGGCGGTTTCGGTACGACATGACATGTTTCCCACCAAGAGACACCGAACTAACGACGAAAAATCAGGCTTTATTAGCGGAGGTGCCAATTTCACCAAAGACTCCGAGGATGTCAAGCAGTTTCGCGCCCAACTGGATCTCATCCGAGAACAGTTCCTCGCGAAGACTCCGCTACCCGTCGGAATTGGGGCCCTCACCATGAAGGCCGATGTCTGGACCGACGACTTTATCTCCCTCGTCGCCGAATACCAGCCCGCTGCGGTCTGGCTCTTCGGCAACGAGCGTCGAGACCAGCACCAGAGACTGATTTCGGGGCTAAAAGCCGTTGGGCGGGGATGGGATCTCCAGGTGATTGCTCAGATCGGCAATGTTTCTATTGCGCGCGAGGCTGTGCAAGATGGGATCGATATTCTGGCGGTCCAGGGTACAGATGCCGGGGGGCACCAGTTCCGACAGGGCGCAGGTCTGATGACGGTCCTACCGGAAGTTTGCGATATGTTGGCCGCGGAGTTTCCGGGCAGGCGGGTGCCGGTTCTTGCTGCGGGTGGCATTATGGATGGGAGGGGAGCGGCGGCTGCGTTGGCTTTGGGTAAGTTTATGTTATGGGGTGGAGTGAGCGATATCGCTGTGGTTCGGGTACTGATAATGTGTAGGGGCGGATGGGGTTGTGATGGGGACACGGGTGGGTGTCTATTCTCCCAGATCTCTTCGTTTGAGGCATGGGGTATAATTTGCTGATCACAATACTAGTTCTTGGGCACGAAGGAATGTCCGTGGACGGACGAGATCAAGGCTCGTCTCCTGGCCGCGGACAATGGTGCATCGGCAACGGCCAAGTGAGTTATATATATCCTCCCCGGGGAGGATAAAGACAAGCACGCGCTAAACCACACACTCGACTGACTGAACAAGATCACCCGCTCATGACGTAGTCACCGGCATGAAGAGCTTCTGGCCCTGTCAGTACGACGGTCGAGCTCTGATCACCGATTCCTTCGAGCAATCGCTGGCCGGCGCAGATGAAGAGGAAGTTATCGTGCGGTATAAGGAGACACTGGCGGGGACGGATGGCCATCTGCATAAAGTCGTTTGGGCGTGAGTTCCTCCCCATGTTCTTTATCCTCGAAGTGCAATGCTGACCGGATGATCGAGTGGTGCTGGCGTTGGACAAATGACTTCGGTGGTGTCGGCGGAGACGCTCATCACGGAGACGCGGGCGCAGTGCAACGACTGCCTGCAGCGACTGGCCTGGTCCATGAGAGCAAACTAGCAGCCGATTAACATCAAGTAAGGCCGGCTGGCCCAATGGCAAGGCGCTTGACTACGAATCAAGAGATTGCAGGTTCGACCCCTGCGTCGGTCAATATTTTTTGGGCCTTCCTTCCCCACACACCCCTTCGGCAAGCATTCTACATAATATTCTTTTATATTATTGGAGGAGGGAACAGTATTCCTGAAGAGAATCGGAATTCAATAACGTAGAGATTTGGTAGTTATGGTTTGGTGCTCGTATCGCCAAACCGCTACCTTTTTTGTTTGCTCTGCGCTCTAAATGGCAAGAAATCTATCGATCATGAGCTTGGCGGACGTGACATCCGAGGACCATGTGTATTTCCGTCGGATCGAGGGGTGCACCAGGCCCATCTTAGCGATGTCGCCCCTGGGACGGTGGATCGACAGAGACTCACTAGTTAGTCGATCGCAGGTCCAGCACCCCATGACGTCATGGCGCCTTTCCCCCCCAAAAACACTCACTCGTCGAAAGTCTCGACGTCTTCGTTGTCACCGCAATGACCCCCTGTCGTGTCTAACGCAATCATCCTTTGTCCCTCCAAGTACCCTCGTATCTCCCGTTTGTCTCCCGTTCTCTCCTTCCTCCCCTCTCCTACGCCTCGGTCCCTAGTTTATCTCCCCCCTTTTCTTTCTCTACATTCTATCTTAGCAAGGGATGGGTCTTTGCAGTGGTAGCTCATAGCGGCTCTTCATCCTTTCATCTTGCATCCCATCATGCCTCTGAATACGGTGGCATTGAGCTTTGCTCTCACTCCTGCCGTTCTCTCGACGTTTGTCTCTCATGTGAGTGGACATGCGACTGTACAATAGACCCAACCCAATCCCACTAACAAAAGACCTCCCAGTACATACATCGGAAATCGCTGCACCATAAACCCAACATCCATGTCTCCTACGATGAAGGAATCCACATTTTCCGCGAATTTCTCGCCTACGCCTCCAAACACACCGTCGAGGACATTCAAGCCTTCACCACCCAATGGGTACCCAGTCCGCACTGGGTGAGGACGGAGACGGTCACCATCCCCAATAAATACCTGACAGCCGCCGCGAACACCCTTATCGAGCAATTAGGTCCACATGGCATAAAACGCGTCGGTGGAAAAGAGTGGTGGCAATGGCGTGGCCCCGCCGAGGATCTCAAGGGTGAATGGATCGAAATGCGAAACGACCATAACGAGAGAAAACGGGCCAATGGGGACCATCCCAGCCAGAAGCGCATTATGCTGTACATCCATGGGGGTGCGTACTACTTTGGCAGTGTGGATACGCATCGGTATCAGATGCAGCGTCATGCGAGGAAGCTTAAGGGGCGGGTGTTTGCACGGTAGGATCTTGCTCGGGGTTGTTTGTGGTTGTTATGCTAATTCGATGCAGTGAGTTACGGTATCCGCGAACGAGGTATTGATTGATATTCGGAACTAACTTGACTTCTATCGCAGCGGAATACCGCCTGGCGCCACAGTATCCCTTTCCGTGTGCGCTGCAGGACTCGTTGTCGGCGTACCTGTTTCTCTTGAATCAGTATAAACCCAACGAGATTATTTTTGCCGGTGATTCTGCCGGCGGAGCGTTGGTGCTCTCGTAAGTTGGAGGCTCACAAATGTTTCTTTCTGTTTCTTGTGCTGACCACTACTTAAGCACATTGGTCACCGTTCGTGATCAGGGGCTTCCTCTTCCTGCAGGTGCAATCTTAATCTCCCCTTGGGTGGACCTGACGCACTCCTTCCCCAGCATTGTTAAAGATAATCCCGGCGACTACATCCCCCCTTACGGCTTCCGGCATAAACCGTCGGCAGCATGGCCGCCGCCTAGCGCAGACGATGTTCTCTCGATCAAAGAGGCGATTGGCAAGAAACGAGCCTCGCAGATCAAAGTTCCGGAATCCAATATACCCTCACGTGGTCGGGCGGATGAAGCCGTAGCCAAGGGCTACTCGGTTGAGGATAACAATCCACCTCTCACAGACGCCCCTGCGGACCAGAGACCAGATGCAAAATATGAGGAGCTCTACAACGTCAAGGTTCCCATGGACGGTAAGACAGTTGAAGTCAAAGACCAGATCCATATGTACACGACCAATCAGCTGCTGTCACATCCATTGGTATCACCTGTCTTACAGGCCTCGCTTGGAGGTCTCCCGCCTCTTCAGATCATGACCGGGGGAGGCGAGATGCTCCGTGACGAACAAATCTACCTCGCGCACAAAGCTGCGAATCCGCCGGCCTATCCACCGGCCGATGCTTACTTGGATGAGCATGATCCGAATCGCGAAACTCTGCACAAATACCCCGGAACATACGTTCAGCTGCAGGTCTGGGATGACCTTTGTCATGTAGCACCGACCCTCAGCTTCACCCGTCCGGCCAAATACATGTATAGATCAGTCGCCCAATTTGGGGCGTGGGCGCTTGCTTGTGCGCAGGAATCTCGCATTGACATCCTTGATGACAACGTCGTCTCTCCCATTTCTTCCAGTGACACAGACACCCCGAAAACACCTGCCGACACGGCAACAGAGAAGCCAGTCTCTAATGGTGCCGTTTCCTCCGTCGGCATGGCTGGCGATCCACTGCCCCCGTTTAAAGACGGAATGGTGCGGCAGAGAGTGGACAAACGAGGCCGTATCTACCCCCTGCCTCCGCCATCTTCGTACTCCATCCTCCAACTTCCCAGTTCGCACGTGGGATCCTTCAACCCGGAGCTCGTCAAGAAATGGCTCGCAGGCAAAGAGGAATGGGACGTTAAGTTTGCCAAGGAGAAGCTGCGAGTGCAGCAGCAGCGACTGAAGGAACTGGCCTATGGCTTTGAGGATTTCGAGAACGAATTTCCACCCCCGTGTTCCCTGGCTGCGCGGAAAGAGGCCCCCGGTGTATTGCCTTCGCGGAATGGCCGCAAGAGCTATCCGATGACACTGTGGAGCCACTGGGCTAGCAAGCATGACGAGAAGACCATCGAGAGGGAGCGACAAAGGGACAGCGACGCCCGGCGGATCAGCGTGGAGGCAGGAAAGGCGGGGGCGTCACTCAAGAAGCCGTCGAATCGTGAAAACAGTGATGTACCTACGGTCGGGCAACCGCAGCCCCCTGTCTTCAATCTAGGACAATCTAAGCCTGCTGCCCTTGACGTCGAAAAGGCGAACGAGGAACTCTCGTCCGGGGAAAGGAACAGCCCTGACACGACCACCAGCACGGGCACGCAGACACGCCTCCACCTTCTCGACAAGACCCACAGCCCTCTCATCGTTCTACCCGCCTACGAATCTAAGCGGTTCGGAGAAGAGGCAGCCAGCACGCAGTCACTCTTCCACGCTCCCGGGATTATCGCCCCAACTTCAGACCCCTACGCCCCGCGACACCGACACCGACCTTCGTCTCATGCTGGCTCGGGCACGATCCGCAGCGGCATGACCTCCGATGTAGCCGATGATGTCAGCACCCTCGGTGACAAGTCCTTGGCTATCACCAGCACCGGCGTCGATGCCGCCAGCACCCGGGCCGTCCTCAACGCCGCGGGGGTCGTGAACACCATGAACGATGTAGACTCGAAGTCTCGTTCCGTGGAGGCTCTTTCCATGTCCCATGGCTCGGCAGGTCTGGCGAGTACGTCTTCCTTAGGTGGGAAGAGCGAGGTGGTAGAGAATGGGATGGAATCTTCCCGTCCCGGCATGCCGGAACGTGATGTCTTCAGGACCGCTGACGAGTACATACCGGGTCATTGATTCGTATATCTGCTAGCTATAACTGATCCATTCGCTAATCTCCCTTTCTGTTGTTGTTATTTTGTGTGGCTGGGCTTCCTTAAAGTTAAGCACCGTTTTATACCTATCTAGTTGACATGTCGGCTTCTTTTCTTTTCTTTTCTTTTTTTTTTTGGCTACCTTGATACTCCGACGGATCTTGTATGTCTCGCATTAGTTCTACTATCTTTACCTACATACACAATGGATACCCTTTCATATCTCATTTACGAGAAGTGGTACATCTTACTAGGTAATGGAGCTGAGATTCATTTCAAACATCAATCCTATAAATACAACGAACCGATCTATCTATCATTGGGTATAAATATCACATCCATATCAAAACATCGTCCTTGCCTACCTACTTACCTACCTACCATTCCACCCCCACCTTCCTAGCCACCTTCTCAGCGACACCCAAAAACGCCTCTCTCCGCGCACTCCGATCCGCCGACTCCTCCGCCACCACCGTCGGCATGCCCCGATCCGCATCCTCGCAGACACGCGCATCCAGCGGGATATCGCCCAGGAAATCGACCCCGAGCCGCTTGCACTCCGCCACGACGCCCCAGTCCTCCTGGCCCCCATGATGATGGTCATGATGATGCCCCCCGTGGGAAAAGATCCTCGTCTGATGTCCACACTGCGGACACGCGAAGAAAGCCATGTTCCGCACCATGCCGAGCACGGGCACCTCCATGCGCTGAAACATGCCGAACCCGCGGACGGCGTCCCGGAGCGCGATGTCCTGTGGCGTCGATACGATGACCGCCCCGTCGAGGATTATCTCCTGGCCGATGGTGAGTTGCACGTCGCCTGTGCCGGGCGGCAGGTCGAGGAAGAGTACGTCGAGAGGGCCCCAGGAGACGGAGTGCAGGAGCTGGTGCATGGCTTTCGTGACCATGAGGCCACGCCAGGAGATCGGGGTCGTGTCCATTGGGAGGGGGGTGTTGGGGTCCGAAGAGGAGGTGGTGGTGGAGGCGGCTTGGGGGAGGAGGTAGCCCATGGACATGGATTTTAGGCCGTAGTTGGTTAGGGGAACTAGGCAATTCTCTTTTTGAGGTGTTAGATAATTAGTCTCTCTTGGTGGTGAGGGGGACAGAGAGGAGGGAGGGTTGATGGCATACTATCGTCAAGACGCGGTTCGCCGGAGAGATTGAGGAGAGTCGGGATAGAGGGACCGAAGATATCGGTGTCTAGAATTCCGGTGCGGATGCCTCGACGCGCGAAGGCTAAAGCAAGGTTGACTAGATCGCAGACACATGTCAGCTATTGACTTTTTTGCTTGTGTGGACATCATTGCCGTCGGGAAGGCAATGCGCTGGAGGTTATATAGATGGGTAGCTCCCCGCCAGTCCCTAAACTCACTCACCAGCAATTGTCGACTTGCCCACACCTCCCTTAGCCGATGACACCGCAATTATCTTCTTCACATCACGAATCTTGCGTTTCTCAGGGAGTCCGCGACGACGGGGGAATGGAGGCGGAGTGCCGGAGCGAGGAAGGCCCTAAGCGGAGATGAATAGTTAGTAAATAGACCAACGAGAGACCCCCTCCCAGATCAAACCACGAAGAAAAACACACCAATGGGTTATCATGTTGCAAAACTCGGGCGGTCGAAAAGAATCTCCGTCCGAACATGGTCAATGCAAGCCCAATGTATCCAACGTTGAGTATGAGAACTGATGCCGAAGCCCGCGGAGGAAATATTGCCGGGAATAAATACCCACCGCCGGACGAACTGCCCCCTTTCGCTGGTCGCTAACCCAACCAGGTAAGTAATCCCCTCACCGCCTCGTGACTTTTCAGCGGCAGAAAAAAAAGATCGAAGAGAAAAAAAAAAGTAGTCCCGGCATTCTTTGGGGTTGATCGCAAAGAACCAGGTTAGAACAAGCAGACACGCCGGATTACATTTTCAACATGGCGCGAAGATCGTTAGCAGAGCAGTATGCTGAATTGGACGACCCTACTCCTAAAGGTTCGATTCATTATCCTACGTTGAATTATTGTTGTTTTGCATCCTAATTAATTTGCTTTCTTTCGCAAACAGATTTCGACCCCGAGGACTTGGAACACGCCGGCCCGGACAGCGACGATGAAGAGGGAGGTCGAGATGTCGATGAGAATGCCGGTCGAGAGCACTACCAGGCTGTAGGGTGAGTTTGCTTCCTTCAATTTTGTTTCATCTAGGTTGTGTTTGTTTTCTCCGCGGTCCTGCTAACGTCCAGCAGCAAAGGGAAACTCCGAAAACAAGACCCGATCACTCTGGGAAAGCAATATGCCGGCTCTAAGGTCAGCAGAGACGCCCTTGAGGCTGAGAGCGATGACGATCCGTTCAAAGCGCGTTCCGGGGGCGAGGAGAGCGATAGCGAGGATGACGATGAGGGGGATGGTCTCGAGCTGGGAAGCGACGAGGACGACGAGGAGGAGGAGTCTGAGGAAAGTGAAGAGGAGGTTCCTAAGAAGTCCAAGGTCTCTGGGAAGAAGGGGAAGCGGGACGTGAATATCGACATGGAAACTGATGGGTCAGATGAGATTGAAGGAGGCGAGGAAGGCGAGGATGAGGATGAGATACCCTCTGACGAGGATGAGGACGAAGACGAAGAGGACGACGAAGATGACGACGAAGATGACGACGAGGATGATGAAGATGATGATGACGAATTTGAGGACGAGGAAGAATCCAGACCCTCCAAACGTCGCGTCAAATTCGACGAGCCCGCCAAATCCGACGACCGGGACGAGCTGCGCCGACTGATGGCCACCGATCAGAAGACCATCGCGGCCACGCTCTCGCAAGCCGCCAAGTCCGACGCAACCAAGGGTAAAGCCGTCAAGCAACAGCGCGCCACCTTCGACGCCCTTCTCAACACCCGCATCAAGCTCCAGAAGGGTCTGACGGCCATCAACCAGTTCTCGCTCGCCGACCAGGACACGGAGAGCACCGACGGCAAGGCCATTAAATCCGCCGAATCAGCTGCCCTGGCCCTCTGGTCCACCCTGGAAGACCTGCGTCTGGCCCTGGCCGACGCGCATTCCCCGGACGAGTCCAAGAAGCGAAAGAGACCGTCGGCCGCCTCGCCGAGCACGTCCTCGGCCTCGCTGTGGAAGCGTATGACCGACCTGGAATCCGACTCGAACACCCACCGCCGCGCCATCCTGGACAAATGGTCCTCCAAGGTACGCGGCTCCAACGCGGCGGCGGCGCCGAACGCCCGCGGAAAGCTTCTGGGCGCCGCGACCGGCAGCCAGCAGACCATCACCGCCGTTTTGGACGCCCAGGTTGCGTCCGAGACCGGCGACCGCGCCGCGAAGCGTGCGCGCTCCTCCTCGAATGGTGCCAGCGAGGACCGCGAGCCCGTTTACGACGACACCATCTTCTACCAATCGCTGCTGCGGGATCTTGTCGAACAGCGCATGTCCTCGTCCGATGCTATCACCAACGGCATCGATACCCTGCATATCCAGCTGCCGTCCCGTCTTTCCTCTATCCATCCGGTCACCGGCATGCGCAAGGACAAGGTCAAGAGGGAGATTGACACTCGTGCGTCGAAGGGCCGGAAGATGAAGTTCGACGTTCACGAGAAACTGCAGAATTTCATGGCCCCCGAGGACCGCGGTTCGTGGACGGCCCATGCCCGAGAGGAGTTATTTGCCTCGCTGCTTGGAAAGACTGCCAGCGGCCTACTAGGAGAGGAGGAGGAGGATGCAAGTGGCGCTGAGAGTGATGAGGACAGGGAAGAAGGTGGATTGAGGCTCTTCCGGAGCTAGATCTACGTCTAAAAAAATCATGTAGAAATTTCATTTGGATATATTGAGAAGCATATTCTTTAGCAACTTTTCAAAAATCGCATTTGCATGTATCATGTCGTCGAGGCCGAAATCATAGTTGCAAGTAGGCCGCCAGTTTCTCTTCCCTTGTCCAATCGTAAAACGTCAAAATCGTCGATCATAAATCGTCACATGTATCTCTCATAGGAGTCATTCTAGAATCAGTTGTGTCAAGCCGGTGACAGCACGGATATCCGAGACCAAATGGTATATCTATCCATAGGTATAGAAAAGTGAGTCTTCTCTCTACTGGACGAAATACCATGAGTAAGCGGCCTTCATCCTCCAGCGAGAGTAACATCGGCTTTCAGAACCAACCATATAACTAGAGAAGGCAAGTTGAATAATTTTTTCTCGAATAGCAACCCGAGACGCATCAATAGCGGTCGCTTCTATACGACGGTCGTTGTGATCGTTTCGCCTTTGCAGGCGAGTACTGCGGCAATGCGGTTCCCTGACAAGGACTTTCCCAAGCAAAATCCGTCCGTCTCGACAATCCTAACATCCGTTCGCGTACGGCACACTCCAGTTTCAATTTCCGCTCGACCTCCTCCTGGGGCGAGAGGAAATGAGGTAGCCCGTTCCAATCGACTATAACTGCGCCGCTCACGTCGTTGTAGCCCGGGAGAGCACTGTTTCTGATCGAGGTGGGTTCGCTCCGATTCATTGCGTCTCGGTTCTGAGGCTGGACTGACGAGGGTGATGGAGATGGTAAGGATGGGTTGGCACGGTTATAAACAAACACGGCTGGTGTAAACTGATGCTCGGCCGGTGGATTGATGTCTTTCCAAAAGTGGGCTGGTTCCTGTGCAGAAGAACTCGAGGCAGGTTCGATCTGTGCTTGGAGAGCTCCTTGTTTTTCTTTGTCGGTAAAGGAAAAGTGCGGACGTTTACGATCGAGGGGAACCGATTCTGTGCCTCCTGTATAAGTACTTATTGGTTCGTTGTCGACACGGATGCTGTGAGGTGCAGGTAACGAGGAGAATCGAGATTTCCATATCCGCATAAACGGCATTGTGGCAGGTCGTAAAGAGGGTATCTACTTTCGGAATTTGACGTTAAAACTAGACTAGAGAGGCAGTGGGTGAAAGGGTCCAGATGGAAAAAGGCTCTCCTTGTCCTGATGTGATGACCTGTCAACGCTGCCCTATCGCCAAGATCACTGACTGTAGTGACGGTCTACCAAATTCCAATCAAGACCGGCCGGAAAGTATCTTGGACAGGGTCATGAGAGGTCAAAGCCGAGCGTTAAGGGCGTCACGAGGCGTTTCAAGCATAAAGCTTGACATCTCCGATGGGTACACGTGGATAGGCCGCAACTATCGGTCGTGGAATGTCAGGCGAGGGTTTGCTGCCCAGGTGTCCAAGGAATTTTCCGACTTCGTGTTCGGACCAGGGCATGGGAAGTGCAGGTTTGACTCCCAAGGAGACCGTGCTGAGCCATGCAGCGTGCAGAGCCTGTGGAGCATTGTGATAGGTCAAGATATAAACCCTAGGCGCCAGGAGCACTCGGTATATGCAGCATTTTTGTCACCGAGTCCATCTAGATTGATCTTCCGTCATGGATTGCATCCCTTCACCGCTTGTATCTAGTCGGAAGGTGGCCACCAAACAACTCGCTTCTAAAGCCTGGAGCTAATGGTGAGAATGATTTTGATTTTCCACTAATGCGAGAAAGCAAACAGAGACCAATTGATCGTTGGGAAAGGAGTATGGCTCTACCCTGTAGGGATCACAATTGCGCAGTAAGCCAAGCCATAATCGCACAGGGTTGCTCTTGCCAGATTGTAATGGGGTCGCAGGAATTTTGAGGTTACCTAAATTCCGTAATAATCCAGGCGCAAGGGTCGAATTATGACAACAAATAGGGTGTTGAGTACTGTCACGATGGCCGATATCTGGGTTTCAACTAGAGATATCGTCCTGTCTCTCTAGTTGCCTTCGGTTGACTTATCATCTTGACATCTTCACAACAACAAGCGGAGTCTCAAATGTAACCTATAGAATGATGCTTTCTGGTAAAAAGCATCTGAGAGAGCTCGCGTACAGCACGCGCCGATTGGTATCACTCATTCAGCCAAGGCTTGCTAGAAGCCTGCTTGAGTTTGGGACTACTCGTCCGAGTATTCTTCATACCATTGCCCTCGCAACGCCTGAATCGAGGGTGCCACATCCCAGCCAGTTCTCTTCTCCAGATCACTTAGTAGATCTTCTGCAGCTGCTTGATCTAGCTTATGGCGAATAACCCAGCCCCCTGTGTAAACATAGTCAGCACGAATACAATCGGATTTGGCAAACGCTCAAATCGACCAAATAGATTGACAAGAACTCGAACCCCTACAAATGATAGGAGATTAAGTACCACTCACAGGCAACTAAACTATGACGTGCAGTGAAAAGGGTGTTTTCGGCTTTTTTATTGGACTTGGCCAGACCGAGTACGGTGAGAAGATGGCCCCGAACAGTTTTCTGGAATTCTTGATTTTAACATGCGCTATCAGTGTGCCACGTCGGATTCGATGATCATACCTCAATATGGCGAGAATTTTTGAAAACCTCATATGCAGGGGATGGGTTTGGGCAGCACGAGAAGGCCAACATAATTTTCGCGATGTGATAATATTGAACGCCGACCACTACGGTCTGTCAGTGAATCGTCGCCAAAGTCTCGAGTATGAAAACCAACCATGAACTGGTAGCAACATCCAAATGCCCGGGAATCGATCTGGGGCTTCTTTGTTGCGCGGAGTAAAATGAATGGGCTCGAATGTGCGCGGTTTAGTGGCATACCAATGCTCAATCTCTCCCCTTGCGCACTGCAGCGCAGTAAGATGTGTCCCCGACTCATAACTAAATGCACATTTGAGAAGTTTGGCCAGTAAGAATACCATTCGGCTTGCGCAGGCAAAATCATCGCTCCTCATAAAAACATTTGAGTTTCTGAAGCTCTCAAGATCAGCGCGTAATGGCTTTTGTGATGTTATCGATATGTGGATGTCTTCGCGAAGGCATAACCATGCTGCTGCTTCACCCAAACCACCAGATGACCCAAATGTCGATACTGTATTTAGAATGTGGGTTATCCCTGTCAAGTGGAATTGATTGTCCTCGCCTGAGACAAGTGAGCCTATGTCAGGAAAACCAGAAAAATCAGAAAGCCTGGGGAACTTACTGTCCATCTCTTCATGTTGCCGAAGTATTGCGACCGCCGCAAGAACAGTGTCACTAATATTGTCCCTCATATCTGATAGAATGGGTATTAGCAGCTGAAGGCATCTGTTGTGGTACTGTAATGCCTCGGCTGCTTCGCTCTTTCTCTGTCGGTTCATATGCCGGGAGGAGAAAGCAAAGATAGAGAGGCATAGAACAGAGTTCTGAACGGCTCGCAAAGGGACTTCAACCTCAAAATGTCGTTCACGGTCTGTGATATCAGCCTGTTACGAGTAAGGTCAGTATACTCTGCAGAAATTTGGGGTAAAACCGTATTTTGAATTTTCTTACCCACAAAGCCATATTTTCCACGTAGTTGCGCATTAGAGTAGCCTCTCTCTCATTGAAAAAAGCGTGTGTCTTTTGTAGGACTATTTGATTATCGTTTACCGACAATGCAAAATTGTTTGGGGTAAGGTGATCAGTAGAAGTCGGCGAAGCCACTGGATAATGGACGGCATCTATGCTACTAATTAAATCAATTACCAGAGAGCGAAAGCCGTTTTGCCTACCCAGTTGTTGCCTATTGATGTTCTGATGTGTTTGGATCAACTGCTGCTCCTGTGGCTGAGAGATACCGTGTTGCCCAGGACTACCCCGTGCATGGGACGAATCAACGAAATTATGCCCCTGGCGCTCATTTGGTCCGTTAAACTCCGGAGAACCAACTATCCTGTATTGACTTTTAACTTCTAGAGTCTCATCATAAAACTGTACTTGTAGGAAGTTAGTGGGAGAAACACAGGACGCCTGACACAAAACTCACAAGATTCCATTGGCCGCGGCCATATCTTTGACTCTGGAAATGAAACGGCAGGGTCGTCGTCCAAGCCTAATCCATTGCGAAACCTCACATTGAACCCTCTTTCGCAATTAGCACTGGCTAGTCGGCAATGATCGCAGGCTGGATAATTGAGATCACCTGTACCCATGTAAGATGTATGCTAAATTAGAATGAGGGGATGGTACGCACATTTCAGATGGCGAGCTATGAGATAACGCTTAAATCAGTCTAGCACTCATGATCGCGATAGGCCAAATCTCTATGGCGAGAGTGGCATCTTCCTCATCCATCAGGGGCCTCTACTTACCCCTACATCTTTGGCTGCAGCATTGATTAGTCTCCTCTTCAGTATTGAACTCATTGGATGAAGTGGACCGGGGTACCAATTACCAGCCAGTAGCAAGGCGGCTTCTCTTCTTCGGTGACCAAGACATGGAGCTGCCTGCTAGTAAAGCAGTAATCGATCTGGGGAGAAAGAGAAGAAGAATGCGGAGAGAGTTGCCGACGGGTTTCTCGCAAGGCGGAGAAAGGCCGAGCCCCGCAAGAATTTCCCCGCAAACAAGAAGATCCGCCCTTTTTAAAGGCAGGGAAAGTCTTTCCGTCTCCACTGGAAACTCTGCCCGTCTCCGCCGTGGAACTCGTCTGCAGCTTACAGACTCACGATCACCTTCGATTCCCACTTTATACCCCTCAGTATGCAGATACAGATGAGCTTCAAATGGGTAGACTTGCCTTATATTCACCAAACTATGCAATTAAAGGCGAAATAAAGGCTCACCAGCAAGGTCTCGCTGGATATAAAAGGGCCCCAAATATACCCAGGTTGAATGAGCAGATCCATCCTCGTGAGCTCTTTTCCTTTGTCTCGACTCTCTAGTTTCTTTCCTTCGCCCTATTTCGTGCCACTCTTACTTCACGATGTCCATCCAGAAACTCAAAGTTGGCATGGCCGGCCTGGGTCGCGTCGGCAAGATCCATGCCAACAACTTCCTTCACCAGACCCCCCGCGCTGACCTGGTTGCTGCATTCACTCCTGACCCGGCTGAAATCAGCTGGGGTCGGCAGAATCTTGAGCCGTATGGAGTAACATTGTATGATGATTACGAAAAGATGTTGGACCACCCCGGACTGCAAGCCGTAGCTATCGGAACAGCTACCTCTGTGCATGCCGAGGAGACGATGAAGGCCATCGATCATGATCTGCACGTCTTGTGCGAGAAGCCATTGTCAACCGATGTCGAAGTTGTATGTACTATTTTCCATTCTATGTATATCTGGGTTGTTTTCATTAGCAGACTAACACTCAACAATAGTGCAAGGCTGTTGTGCAAAAGGCAAAGACCAAACCCCATCTCAAAGTTATGTGCGGGTTCTCGCGACGATTCGATGAATCTTATCGTGAGGTTCACGAAAAGATAAGCCAGGGAGCAATCGGACGACCATCGATCGTGAGAAGTCAAACCTGTGACAAGTTTGACCCTTCCGGTTTCTACGTTGCCTACGCGGCATGGTCCGGTGGAGTGTTCGTCGATATGTCCGTCCACGACATCGACCTTACCTTGTGGTACTTCGGCGACGATGCCGTTCCCAAGAGCATCTCGGCGCATGGAATCACGGCGGTGCAGCCCGAATTGAAGAAGTACAAGGACTATGACAACGCTGTGGGAATTGTCGAGTTCCACAACGGCAAGATTGCCTACTACTATTGCTCCCGCATGATGCCCCATGGCCAGGAGGACACGACAGAGGTGATTGGGACCGAGGGCAAGCTGTCTGTGAACATCAACCCACAGCGCAACTTTGTGAACCTCTACCACCCTGGTGGCATCACCCGCGAAATCCCACCCAATTTCATCGGTCGGTTTGGACCTGCCTTCGTGAGAGAAGCCAATGAGTTCACTGCCTCGTGCTTGGATAACACGCCGCTTCCTATCAAGCTGACCAACGCGGTCAAGGCAGTAGAGATTGGTTCCTACTTGCAAGAGGCATTGGTCACTGGAAAACAGATTCATTTCGATGAGATTGGTAGAAGGGTGGAGAAGGCTCAGCTCTAGAGTGACGGCAGAACGGATTACTGGATATTATGATTAGCAGACGAAATAGACGCAAATTTTAAAGGCATTTTCCAAGAGTTATGCTGAAACGCACATTTCATCTCTTTACCGGTGATGTTAGTCTCCTATGTCAGCGTCTCCAATGTCAGCGTCTCCCTCCATCATGGCAAGATGGGGGGTGGCCCTTCTACGACACCCAGAATATCCTTGGTTGAAGGGAAATTAAGGGATCAATCAATACCAAAAGGATACGTGGGGTAGGATGAATGCAGGCGAGGTTTTCTGGTTAGGGAAGGGACGACCGACCCCAGTGATGGTGGGAGTGGCAGAAAATCTGAAGCAAAAAAAGATAAAGGTTATGGGATGAACCGGGATTGAACCGGTGACCTCACGATTGCCAGATGAACTGACTTGACTGAGTGGATCTTCAGTCGTGCGCTCTCCCAACTGAGCTATCACCCCATTTATTGAAGTTGGGTTTAATTTATGTTAAATGATCCTCTGTGCACAAAATCCCCCATCAAATCGACTTTCTGGCGCCTCGTCTTTCTTGAGCTGTGTGACAATCCTCAAATCAAGCCAGTCGAGCCCTTTGAAGCCATCTCATCCTTCTCATCCTTCGACTTTGTAAGTTTAAACTGACTGGTTGAGCGCCAAAGCTCATTCTTTGAATAGCTAATTCAATTTCATCGCTGCCCTTTTACGTATATTTTTGTGGGCTTTACGCTGGGATTAACGGATGTTCGAATGCTTCGTGTGATATCTCTCTTTTTGGTCATCTCGTCTAACTAATATCTGGCTCATGATAACGCTCGTGTGAACTGGCTGCCAAACCACCGATTATCACGAATGTATTGAAGAAAACCGCATCACTGGGCCGCAGAGGAGCTCTCCTGCTCCTTCAATGCCTGGCGCACCCGGGGTAGGATGTAGCGGCCATAATCGATGGCATCGTTGAGATTGTCATAACCTCGAATGGAAATCAGCTCCGCCCCAAGATCGACATAATCCAGAATCGAGTCGGAAATGGTTTGATAGGATCCGACGAGCGCCGTGGACGCCCCGCGCGCGTTGGTTGCGGTGACGGTGGGATACCACAGGGCGCGGTCCTGCACCTCCCCACGTTTGGCGATGTCGAGCAGTCTCTGCGAGCCGACGTTTTGCGGAGGAGGGGCATCGGCCGGCGCTTTGCCCTGGCCCTTGGCTCGATTCTCAGTCAGAGCGTCCAAGGTGCGATGAGCCTTGGCCCAGGCGAGCTCGTCGGTCTCGGCGATAATTGGTCTGAAGGTGACCCAAATCCGCGGCCGGTCGAACTCGGGACGGCCCGCGCGTGCCGCCTCGGCGTAGATGCGATCGATTTGCTCCTTTGTTTCCTTCAGGGGCTCGCCCCAGAGTCCGAAGATGTCGGCCAGCGACCCTCCAATGCGGTATGCCTCGTCCGACGATCCTCCCACCGAGACGGGGATGGTGCCGTTGACCGGGCGCACCTTGTTGCTGAACTGCTTGAATTGATAATAGGTCCCCTCCCAGTCGAAGGGTTCCGGCGACTCCCAAGCCCGGCGCAGAATACGGATATACTCCTCGAGACGTGCGTATCGCTGCTCCTTGTTCAGGAAATCACCCTCCTTGGCCTGCTCGGCGTCACTACCACCGGCGATAAAGTGAACGACCGCGCGGCCGGAGCTGAGTTGATCTAGAGTCGCCAGAGCCTTTGCGGCCACTGTCGGATATAACGTGTTTGGTCGGAGCGCGATGATGACCTTGAGGTTCTTGGTCACGGCAGCAATCGTTGCACCGACTGTGAAAGGATCATAATAGGAAGAATCGTAGGGCACCAACGTATAGTTGAAGGCATAATCGTCTAGCGACCGCGCATAGCGAACCAGGTAGTCCGGATCAATCGAGGGATTGGGAATCGGGTTAATTTCCGTCGATTTGTTGGGAAACGTCAAACTGATAAACTCGGTCGGCATTTTTGCGATTGAAAGTCTGGCTTTTGAATTGGTACCTAGTGGTCTGAATGATTGCCTCTTCAACCACAGGCCAGATCCTTCTTTATATACATTTGTCCAGTCGCGACCCCTCCAGCTCGGATATATCGTGATTGGCCGACTATACCCTGCTGCGCACGCGATGGACGATGGATGATGGCGACAGCTGCTACGGAATCACGTCTTGTGAGATTCCCCCGATATCGATCAGCGCTCATTATTAATCATGTTCCTGAGCCGAAGTATCCGTTCGTCAGCGAAAACAATCGTTGAACATCCAGCGGGGTTTCTACTCCGCAAGGTAAAAGGCAATAGGCGGATATTAGATAGGCCGCTGGTTGATCATATCGCACCGTAAGAGGGGGTAACCTCTTGTCAGGTACACTCCAGACTGGCGTCGGCGGAGCAATCATTTCCAAGGCCTACTCTGGGATCCGATAAGAAGACATTTGTCATAATTTAAGAAGCCTCAATGAACTTATCGGTGTCTCAGCGTGCGGAGAACCACACGGCGGGGGGTTTCCGGCGTGGCATCAGCCAACCTGGAATCACGCAATCGGAGTTTACATTGCGGCATTGGAGTTGAGGGAACCGCCGTGAGAATCCCTGGGAAAGCCCCAGAGAGCGTTCGAAGAGGAAGGAGTGCAACAAGAAGAATATTAAGAGACACACTCGTCCGGACCATATCAGAGGAATGAAGCTACAAACAGAAATTGGGCGCTGACTGAAACTTACCTAGGGAGATGACAGTGGTGCTGAATTTTCATAACGGCATTGCCCTTCGATTAGGATTGGAATTCTGTGCCCGCGATTACAACGTCGAAACTCCCTTTTTTGCTCTACGAGAGTCTTTGCGAAGATCGAAGGCATCATGCTCATTGGGAGTCTAAGAACCAGGGCATAGAAGAGTGTTGGATGGCCACGCTAGTTGCATTCGAACCTACGAATACCTCTGATGACGAGATGGGAGCCCGAAGAACTGGAGAAATTCGTTGGCAGTGAAGATTGTTCTCTGGATACAGAGTCAGCACTGTTTCATATGCCAAAAGACGAAGGAGTGTGTTCGATGAGCGGCGATATGAATCCCGGAGGAGGGAAAGCACAAGACAGAATAGCCTCACAATACCACGCAGCATCTATACATCAAGTATACTGACTCCCTCATTATGAACCTCTTTGCCCCAGCTCTAGGACTCGGATTGTCATCAATTTCATTATGAAAGCCAAACCCCGCATTCCACACTCTCTTGGCGTCTCTTTTGCTGGATGATCTCGCAACCTCTCTTGTCGTTCCCATCCGACTCTAATTGATGGAT